CTAAGCTATTTACAAAGGTAGGTGGTACATTTTAGTTGTATTGAGGAACAATGTTTTGAGGAGGAGGGAGAATGATCACCTGATCTCGTGGTAACGAGAACTGCAGGTTTCTAACACAATCAGCCGTAGAGTACTTGAGTTGGGGGAGGAAACACGACAATGGGGTGTCTTCATCTTCCATATAACGGTAGACTAACGTGTTTGGGTACAACCTTCCTGCTAAGGTGTGAGTGGTTACCAGATAATCAAAGTCCATCTTGGAGATATGTTGGAAATACCAATGTAGGTTCAGATCAATCCCACAGGCAGCAAAGATGGGGGTCGGCAAACCGCCAATACAAATCTGATAATCCGGATTTGCAACGGCGTCGTGCTTGGCTTTGAAAATCTGGTTGAGTAACCAGGAGCCTACTTTTGGCCGCATCCAGGGGCGGTTCAGCGGCTTGCCATATCTGTTGTTTAGCCATTTTTGGGTGGCTCCATACACCATTCGTAACTCTTCTTCTTTGGCTAGGCATGACTGAAGCCTTACAAACATGAACTTGCTGAGGAGCCTCAGAGCATAGCGGACTATCGGGTTCCTGACCTTTGAGATCCTGCAGAGACAGGGGTGGTAGATGTCATCATTGGCAATGTTCCTCCAGACCAAAACAGCGTCGTCCCATATATGTCATCAATTATTCCGTATACTGCGAGGAACTTGGCATAAGACAAGGAGTAGTGACTCTGCCCTATCTTGAACGAAATTCTCCCCCATCCAGCAGAAGAATCCTTCACTAGATAGGAGGTAGACGCGAGGAACTGCCTAGTGAGGGAAGGGTAAGTGTTGTACTCCATTGAAGAAAGAGATTTGAAGTTCAATTTTTCAGAGAACTCGTCGAGGCTATCTCTGATCCCCATCTCAAAGAGAACTTTCCTGCAGGCGAACCTAGTTGGTACCACAGGGGTCTCGCTGAGCCTTTGTAGGAAGGCCCATTCAGCGTCGCTCCACAGGTCAGCCCTGTGGTACACTTCGTCCACACTTGAAGAGCTTGATGCACTCATGCTTCAGCAAAGTTGAAATCTTTAACTGGTATGGCTTCTCAGAGAGAGGAATTGGTTAACAGAGTACCTTTTACAGAAAGAAAGCAAGAGTTTTGTGTTAGAGTAGACCGTTAAATGAGGAAAAACAAAAAAGGCTAGGTTGTGAATGAACAGTTTATGAAAATGGGAGAAGGCGACAAAAAGGAGAAGAAGAAAGTGTTCGGGAGAGAGAGGGAGAAAATATAATATAAAAGGAAAACCCCGGCAGCATTAACTAAACCAAAGTCTGGTTTTGAAGAACCAGGATAAACTGGGGATAAGAAAGAAATAACCAGGTTTTGTGTGATCCGAAGGTTGGTTGGAGATCGAATCAATCCTGCAGTCCGGTATCCCATTTGTACCACCAAAAAATTGTTGAGCTTAATGTTGTTGTGTACCAATATCGTACTCATCGATCATTTTCTGTGAGGAACATAGTACATCGGTTAAACCCGTCGGTTTAAACCGTTGACTACTGCAAAGTCAGATCCCTGTCTAATTTCTTTCCTCATTCTCTTCGTTCTTGCCTTGAAGCTCTTGTAAAGTCTGCTCCTGGAGCATGGTAAAAGAGGGATAATTGGGA